ATACTTTGGTAACAACAACGTTATAAATATATTCAAATCCAATCAAATAATATGGAAGGAAGGAAACAAGTGTAAAAGAGACAAGGAATTCAAAATGGTTGGCTGGGATTAGTACAAAATTTGGTTATAGATGTCTTTCTATTAATGCTGTGAAGTTTGTTGGATACTATGGCTTCCAATCATCCTCTTTTATAAAAGAAGCTTTTGTTTCCAATTTGGGGTTCTTCTTCAATAGCAAATAGGGATATTATCATTGTCTTAATGGTCCTTTTAATATTTCATTCCACCAAAGATCACTGTAGAGAGAGCCCAATGTGTGTGATGAGAATAAATGAAGAGAATGATGAAGTCTCAGATAAAACAGAAGAACAAGGGAGACTTACCGGCACCCCAGCCAACATCAGAATGTTGGGGTTCATGATAGTCACTAGTTGATGAAGCAAATCGGGTTGGTTCTCAAAGAGTTCTGGAGCCGCCGCCCTCATGGCCACTTCAAACTTCTCTGCCTTGGAACCAGGGACACCGTACCATGTCTTGGGTTCTCCCCTGTGGCAGCATGGTTGTTAGTTTCCATATTGTCTGAGTGTGATACAATTCTGTGAGTGTCATTTATTTATTATACACAAAACAAGCTTCAGAGTTTGGAGGAGTCACCTTAATCTGAGGCTAAAAAAGATGACACTGGGTAGCTATTGGGTTGGGAGAATATGTAGGTCTTTTTTAGGCCATAGGCTAATTTATATTCATTTCTATCATCCTAAAAGCTCATGGCCATAGTTTGCTTAAAACACCACTAAGATTCCATCTTACAATGTAGCATATATAAGCAGAATGATCCAATACAGTATTAGAGCTCTAAGAAGTGGTCTGGTAGATTAAATTATTGAAACCGCTTGAAGGGTTCACCACTGTTGAGAAAAGCCCTCTCAATATCTTTCATCGTAGTAAGGACAGTAGAAAGTCTTTGATTTGAGAAAAAAAAAAGTGCTTATAATAGATTTATATCTAATGTTTGATTAAGGAGCCGCCTTCGAAAGCTCAGATTGTTTCATGTTCATTTAAAGGATTGGTGCTTAAAGTATTGTAATGTCCTTGATAATATTAATAAGTTTCACATCTAAATGTCTTACTGATAAGGCACAATTTGGATTATAGATTATAAACACACGGTAATAAGACCAAATCCAAATAAGATGGTAACAACACTGTTACCGAAACGTCACACTATTTATTTATTTAGGATTTGGTCTTATTACCTTGTGTTTAGATCTCTAGCTTTCGGGCATGAAAGCCCCCCTTCAACATGCCAGAGATCCAATTTAATTTTTTCAAAAAATAAAACCTATTTCTGGATGCCTGATGATTTCACCTTAATATAGTATCAATGGATTATTTTATTAAATAAATTGGAGAGTACGAGAAGAAAAAAGGGCATCTCCTTATTGGGCAACTGAAAGTTGCTGATGGCTTGAATTATCTATCGGAATTAATATCAACTATTCTCTTTGAATTTTAATTATTCCAGAATTGGCCAAATACGTGTTCTTGGCCATCAGCAACTTTCAGTTGCCTGATAAGGAGAGGCCCTTTTTTCCTTTTTGTAATTTATGAACCTTATCCCAGTACAAAATCACATTTGTACTATTTTTTTCAAATTAGAGAGTATTTGTCCATAGTGTTACTAAAAGTTGTAGGACAGAACAAAAGCAATAACAAGATAGAGAGATAGGGGGTCGGTGGAAGGATAGTCTAAACCGTTGGTTTTCGACTGCTACGACCCGGGTTCGATTCCCGTATTGGACACTTTTTTCTGATTAAAAAAAAAAAAAAGCTCCAATGACCCCCGATTCTTGCAAAAGTCCAACCCAACAAGCGAGTGCAGGTAACCAAACGGGGCTCTGGCACATTTGTAAGTGCAAAGTAGAATTGCTTTTCATATGTGTAGACATGTAGTGCACTTACAGTAAAAGCAGTCGCCTACTCTACCCACCATGATTATCATGGCCTGTACCACGTGTACTAGGGATAAACAAAAAAATAACAAGATAGAGAGATGGACCAACCAGTGGAGGTAGTTGATGCTGTAACTCCAGTGGTCCTCATTGTGCCAGCAGAAGGTGGCGAAGCACATCCCCACATACATCCAGGGCACCTACAGACACAACACAGGAGGAGGTGAGATAGGGTGACTCTAGTAGGTAAGAGCACTAACAGACCTTCATCCCAGAGATGTCAGCGTTGATGTACTTGAAGATGGAGCCGTCCAGGATAGGAAGGACATTCAGGTTCCAGCCAGATTCTGCATACTCCTGGTACAACCACGCATTTTAAAACTTATTTCTAGTGGGACAGGACATGATAATCATGGCAGGAAGTAGATGCGACTTCTTTTATTGTTGCCCCTGTACTGATTAGGCCAATAGCTGAAACATAGTATAGAGGTTGTTGGCTTTTTTTGTCTGTATTTGCCAAATATAGTGTTGTAGCTTATTCCTTATCATCGCTAGTAAGTTTTTTAGTAGGGTGATGAACATAATGCATCCTGATTTTCACATATGTAGACATGTGGGGCGCTTACAGTAAAAGCAGTCGCCTACTTCTACCCATCATGGCCTTTACCACGTGTTTTTTTTTTTGCTTATCCCTAGTACACGTGGTACAGGCCATGATAATCATGGTGGGTAGTTAGCGACTGCTTTTACTGTAAGCGCATCACATATCTACACATGTGAAAAGCAGTTCGACTTTGCACTTACAAATGTGCCAGAGCCCTGTTTGGTTACTTGCACTTGCTGGTGGGGTTGGACTTTTGCAAGAATCGGGGGCCATTGGAGCATTTTTTTTTTAAACAGAAAAAAGTGTCCAATGGGGGAATCGAACCCGGGTCGTAGTGGTCGAAAACCAAACGGTTTAACCAGCCTTCCACCGACCCCCTTTACCATGTGTAATAGGGATAAGAAAAAAAAAAAAAAAGCATAATGCATCGGTCTAATTCATAATTAAAGTGAGAGGTGTTTCTTTAGATACATTTTGATTGAATGAGGAGTTGTTGTTGCTGCTCATTCCTCCTTTAAACAATCTCCATTAGGTTCCATTGTCTCAGCTTTTCTGTCCTGGGGTTTTCACAGATTGAATGAGTTGAGGTATGAAGTGACCTACCGTCTCAAGGTCTGTGAGGTTCTCCTTGTGAGTCTGAGTGGGGAAGCCGGAGCCCCTGTCAATGGTGTGGAGGTCGGCCCCGTAGTGGACAATGACATTGTTGCCTGTGTCTCCCACAATCCTCCAGAACTCTCTCTCCACCTCACTGGGGGACACCAGCTGACAACAACAACAACACAACTTAATCACAACTACACGTAGCCATGAATATCATTTCAATTAAATAATCTCCTGTATCAATTTTAACTTGAAAATATCAGGCTTTCAAAGATAAGTTTCTTTTTTAGAAATTTTCAATTTATATAATCTCTAGCTTTCGGGCACGAAAGCCCTTCTACAAAAAAAAAAAAGGCAATAAAATTTTTAAGGCAAAACTAGGATTATTGATTATAAATACAAGGTATTAATTGTATACAAATACTTTTGTATGTATGCATACATACATACATACATATGATGCACATTTTTTTGACATTGAGCACACAGAGAGAAAAAATTTGAAAATAGAGCAATCCATAAATAAATCTTTAATTAAAAAGGCATATTAAAAATATAAAGTTAAGTGCCAGGAGAAAATGTTTTTTATTAATCGAATTAATAAAAAACATTTTCTCCTGGCACTTAACTTTATATTTTTAATATCCCAAGGAGAAAGTTTCTACGATTAAATAAAAAGGCATATATTGGACCAAAGGTAAAATAAATGATATTTTGATCCAAAATATGCCTTTTTAATTAAAGAGAGAAAAGTGAAAAACCATCCAATACCTAAATAAGGTTGACAGTTTATTTTTAATATAAATTTTTTAAAAATCATAAATGCATTAATCTCATATCTAATTCACAGCATTGACTCATGACTCAGCACATGACCAGGCTCAGTGTATTTGGAATGAGTACAGTAGAACACACTCCATGAGAGGATACTCACGCTAGAAGACATCTCTCTACAAAGTACAGTTATCATTTGCAAAATTACTATTTTTACTATAACTCCACCTTTATTGGTCCTCAGCCCGGATGAAAAAGGAGGAGGGGAGCAGTAACAAGCTCGCTAAAAAATCTGGGCTCAGCTGGCCCGGCTGATAGTACCAGCTGTAAGGGCTCCTATTCCAGGGATAAAGGATGAGCAGCGTTTGTACTCCATTTTAGGAGCGGCTGCACATGGCGTCTGTTCCTCATGTCAGAGGCGGCCATTTTTTTTGGAGCTAAGTCGGCCTGCCACTGAGTAGTGCTCCCAGTCTTAATGACAAAGACAGACACATTCTACCTCACCCAGTCATGATGGTTGTCAAAAGTCTCAAGCTTTACAAGCATATGATTGAGTGAAGATAAGAAAGAAGAAGAATTTTACTATTTAGCAACTCTCCAGTAAGAGGACACCCTCCCTAAAGGACAGTTTGGCCCTGTAACTAGGTGTTGTCCTTTACAGGGAGGTATTTCTACTGTACCACATTCTAAACCTTTATACTGAGGGTCAAGGTGTAGGTATCTCACCTCTGGACTCCGCTGGAAGTAAGTGGCTTTAAACTTGTCTGCCATCTCTCCAAACTCCTGCAGAGTGTATTCCTTCTGGGACTGTTCAAAGCCAAAGGCATCTTGTTTGGACACTTCCTGGAAACAAGCACCACATTGGTAAAATTAAACAATTATATAGACAATTTGATATTTAAACAACTTTATTGATTCTTCCAATTAATTGTTACAGAAAAAGATATTAAGATCAAATAAAGGATTAATATATACAGTTATCAGTGTCATAATCAATTCTTTCTTAATCAATTCTGTCACCGTTTGCCTTTGTGAATGGAATAAATATCCAAATTTGGCCATTTCTCATAACCATCGGTGGTTCAGTGGTAGAATGTTCGCCTGCCACGCGGGGCCCGGGTTCGATTCCCGGCCGAAGCATTTTTTTTACAATTTTTAAAACTCATTTATATATTATACAAGAATGACATCCACGGCGCCAATTTATAATTGTAACAAATAGTATTTGAATAAAAGCATTTAATCGGGTAAACCCGGGCGTTGCCCGGGTCATTCGACTAGTAGATTATACTAAAGAGGTAAATAAAGGGTAGAGAGATATATAGAGGTAGATACAAGCAATTATATAGAGCGTGTTGATAGACAAAACTTGAGGAACCTTTCAGCATTGATATATCGGGATACAGACAATAACTCTGAAAGATATTACAGTGGCCTTTATTGAAGACACACGAGTTAACCAAGTGTGGACAAAAAAGCTTCTGTCTCCTTCAAAAAAAAAAAATAATAGATGACTGGCGACATCAAGTTTTCCACTTCCTTAAGTTTTGTTCATGAGTATATTTTAAATACACACAAGTCTCAAACTTTTCTATTTAATTATTTAAAGAGGTAGAGATCTGGGACTCTATAGCGAGGAACAGTCTTCTTATCTAAAAAATTTAACATTGTGAGACTGTAGGAAATGTTTCGAATGAAGCCCTCTGCCTAAACTCCAGACGTGGCCCTGATTATTCTACGTGACGGCCAATGCAGCATAGCGGGGAGATTTGACAACCATCATGACTAAGTGACTTTACAGGAACAGTAACTTTATATATATATATATATATATAATAAGAAAAATATATAAGAAAATATAATACATCAATCATTTATATATTTATTAATGTTTATATGTTGAATGAAACATGATTTCAATAGAAAAGTTTTATAAACAGTAGTTAACTTCAGGTCTCAAACCCGGATGAAAAAGGAAGGGGGAGAAGTAACAAGCTTGCTAAAAAACCTGGGCTCAGCTGGCCCTGCTGATAGTACCCTGTACAGGGCTACTGATCTAGTGATAGGATGAGCAGTCTGTACTCCATGATAGTCACAGTTGCACATAGCGTCTGTTCCTCATGTCAAAGGCAGCCATTTCAAATTGGAGCTAAGTTAGTGGCCTGCTACTGAGTAGTGCTCCCAGTCTTAATGACAAAGGCAGAAGCATTCTACTTCACCCAGTCATGATGGTTGTCAAACAGACACCATCAAGGGTCACAACTTGATACCCTAATATGATTGAGTGGAGATAAGAAAGAAGATGATGGTTGTCAAAACACCATCAAAAGTCTAAAGCTCCAAAGTCTAATAAGATTGTTGAGTGGAGATAAGAAAGGAGAAGTACCTCAGCCACACACTTGGGGCACCTCCACACTCTGCGTGGGACTTCTGTGAGTGGCGGCCTCAGGCAGTAGAGATGGAAGCGGTCCGTACACTTCAGACATGTCAACAGGTAGGAGTCCAGGTCTTCTTGGAGGCAGCCCTTGCACATGTGGGTCATCTCCTACACACACACATTCAAAACCTTTAACACCTAATCCTAATTGATGTCTGTGGTCCATTGAAGTCTATTAAAAAAAATGATAAGATACAGTTTAGATGTTTATTTTTTTTAAATTATCCCTTGTACATGTGGTACAGGTCATGATAATCATGGTGGGTAGAAGTTGGCGACTGCTTTTACAGTAAGTGCACCACATATCTACACATGCGAAAAGCAGTTCGACTTTGCACTTACAAATGTACCAGAGCTCCATTTGGTTACTTGCACTCGCTGGTGGGATTGGACTTTTGCAAGAATCGGGGACCATTGGAGCATTTTTTTTTAATTAGAAAAAAGTGCCCAATGTGAGATTTGATCCCAGGTCGAAAAACAACGATTTAGACCTCCCTTTCACCAACCCCCAGGTTAGATTATAGCTTAGATTACAGTTTAGATTATAGCTTAGAAACATGAGGTAACAAGACCAAATCTAAACTATTGGAATGCTTGTGGCCCATTGAAGTCTATCAAAAAAAAAAAAAAAGGTTATTAATGAAATTTTTTATTAATTTTGATTCGGTCTTGTTACCTTATGTTTCTAATCTCTAATCCAAATTGTACCTTATCATACCCAAACACATTATTATTGCAATCAAAAAAACTTCTATTTAATTCAACATCACCAAGAGATTGTGTTCTGTGAAAATGAGAGAAAGTTTTGGCATTGAATTATAGTTGATTAAAGTATGTAATTTGGGTTGGAGATTTAAAGAGAAGTTTTTTTCTTAAGTAGCATTAAAAATTAGTGCATATTTTCACATAGGCATCTATACACATAAAATGAAAGGATTTAAAAGCACGAATGTTTCTTTTATACACAATACAAACTTCTACTGTCCTTACTGCGATGAAAAAATATATTAGGAGGGCTTGGCTCATTAGTGGTGAACCCTCCTATCGGTTTCGCCAATTTAATCCACCAGACCGCTTCTTAGAGCTCTAATACTGTATTGGACGATTCTGCTTATATACGCAGCACTGAAGGATGGAATCTCAGAAATGGTTTTCAAGAAAACTATGGACATAAGCTTATAGGACAGTAGAATACATACATACTTAGTATTAAAATAGGCATCTATGTTTGAAAAGATCACCTGTGTTACTCTCCTCTGCCAAAACTACTTTATAAATCATTATGAATTACACATGTAGGTAGCTTAAAACACACACATAGGGGGACTATTAAAAAAATATTGCTAATAACAAACTAATTAGCATATTCTGGGGATCAGAAAATGATAATGTAAATATATTAATATAAAATGAATGTATTTAAAAGCACGAATGTTTCTTTTATACATAATACAAACTTCTACTGTCCTTACTGCGTTGAAAAAATATATTAGGAGGGCTTGGCTCATCAGTGGTGAACCCTCCCAGCGGTTTCGTCAATTTGATCCACCAGACCGCTTCTCAGAGCTCCAATACAGTATGAGAGCTCTGAGAAGCGGTCTGATGGATTAAATTGACGAAACGGCTGGGAGGGTTCACCACTGATGAGCCAAGCCCTCCCAATATAATTTTTCAACGCAGTAAGGGCAGTAGAAGTTTGTATTATGTATAAAAGAAACATTCGTACTTTTAAATACATTCATTTTATATGTATAGATGGCGTGTTATTGCTATGTGTTAAATATATTAATATGTGAAACCCTACACAATCTTTACTAAGAATAATAATCACAATAATAAGGTGCAATTTGGTTAATAGAGATTAGATAAACATAAGGCACTTACAGTAAAAAGCAGTCGCCTACTTCTACCCACCATGATTATCATGGCCTGTACCACGTGTACTAGGGATAAGCAAAAAAGATAAACATAAGAGACCACACACCTAAATGAATATATTAGGCAGGTAAATTATGACAGAAAAATCACGCATATGTTATTGGATATGTTACCCCTTAGGTAAGTGATAATATCATAGTAATTAACATTTATTAAATTGATATTTGTTGGGCAAAAACATTTTTACTCTTGTAGAAGCTGAGACATTCGGATGTGCTGGAAGTGTTAAGCTTTCTACAAAATTGGTACTCACTTTTGTGGCCATTTTGACACCATTGGCTGCCTGAGGGTCAGAAGCTGGAAACCAATACACAGAACTTTATCATTATTATATATCATCTATATATATAAAAATCAATGTTTGTTTGTTTGTATGTCCGGTATACAAATTCGCAGTAGTTCACTAATTCAAACCAAAATTTCCATACATAGGTAAAAAAATACAGGGAAGACGATAGGCTATTTTAAAAAATATATAAATCAATTATTAAAACTATATATTCAAATTATTCTACTTAGCTCACGAACAGCGCCCTCTACTAAAGATTAGATTAAATTATGCTGATGCAAACAAATAGATAATGCTAATAACAAACAATTATATAAAAAAAAATCTTATCTAAATATATATCACTCGGGTAGATATGCACACGGGTCAATCCCGGGGCGAAGCCCGGGTCACCCGTCTAGTATTACTATATAATTAAGATAACATTTATGAGAGATAGAGAACCCTTTTCTATCGTCAAAATTACCATTTTTACTAATTTGCAACTCTTCTGTGAGAAGATACCTCTTCCTAAAAAACACTTTGGCTCACAGATGACGTGCTAATGCATCATATAAAATACAATAATATAATACAATAAGACTTATTGTATATATATATTTTTTATAAGTTGTGCCCATTTGACTTTTGGCTACTATATGGGGGGATAAATATTCTTCAATTTGATCTGTTAGTAAACAACAACTTGCTGCTTTCTTAGCCCCTTCCAGCCAGTCTTCCTTCAATTTCTCCCAACATCTTTTCTAATCCATTTTGATCTCATTATGTGTTTTAAGTAGGTCAGTCTTTCTTTCCATATTTGGGTTTCTAGAGAGATCAAAGTTTGTCCACCCACACACTCATAGAGGTTGATCTAAATTAAATTTTAAATATATTTTTATTATTTGAGGCTATATTCTATATACAGTTACGAGCGTCATCAATTCTTCATCTCTTAATCATTCACCTCTGTCACCGTTTGCTTTTTTTTTGGAATAGCGCCCTCCTATTGGTTGGCTACGATCACGCCACCTTTGCCCCCCCCCCCCCCCCACTCGCTATTTCGTCTTTGTAACTATTGTGTTGGAGCGGGTCGCTCCCTAAATAAATGCATATATTAGTTACTAACCAAATGGAATCCTCTCTTTCTTTTTCCCAGTAAGAGACGCCTACGGAAGCCAACAGTACATAGACAGATAAAACACATAGGCTATATTATTAACTAATATATGCATTTATTTAAGGCGCCAATTTATAATTGTAACAAATAGTATTTGAATAAAAACATTCAATAGGGTAAAACACGGGCGTTGCCCGGGTCATTCGGCTAGTACTGATATAATTGAGACTAAATTTTGATACTTTTCTAGCTAGTTTTATTAGAGGAAAGGATTGATTGCATTAATTGATATCTAAAAACAAGTGCTTAGCATACGAGTAATTTAAAAACAAAGGGGGTGGGAAAAAACACCAAAAATTTACCTTTTGGACAATAGC